TTTCATTTGGAGAATTGGAACGGCACTTATCATGGCTGCCAGTGACGTACTTCCGGGTCATTTCACTTGGTTAGGAAGGTTCCTAAGCTAAATGGACTATTGGAATGCAACCCTGGTCCTTTCATCAGACGGGAAGCGATAGAACGAGCAAGTGGTATGATCACTTTTGTGATTACAACCTGGTACAAAGCACACAGGCATCTTGTCAAAGTGAACCAACCACTTGGAGCATTATCGCCTGTGACATCACTTACGCGACCCAGAATGGGATTTGGGATTTGTAGTCTTTGTAGTCGCGTATTTTTCATAGTCTTATATTTCAACAGTTTTACGACAAAATGTGACTTTTTTGACATGGAAATGATTGTTTAAGATTGAAAAACATCATCAATCAATCAATCAATCAATCAATCAATCAATCAATCAATCAATCAATCAATGTTTATTTATATAGCCCAATATCACAAATGTTACATTTGTCTCAGTGGACTACAAACTACAGTTTGTACAAAATATCAGTATGACAATACGACACCCTCTGTCCTTAGACCCTCACATCGTACAAGGAAAAACTTCTGAAGAAAACCCATAGTTTAAAGGGAAAAATGGGAGAAACCTCAGGGAGAGCAACAGAGGAGGGATCCCTCTCCCAGGATGGACAGACGTGCAATAGATGCCGTGTGTAAATTGAAAAGATAATACATTTGCAACATAGGTAGTCCAAATGTTTGGAAATGCATGTGTGTATAATAGGAAGATGAATCCACGAGGATATCCATCCAGGACCTATGATCCAGGACCACAGCGACGACTCAAGATCCAGGACAGAGGAGCGCAGGATCATCCATGACTCCGGATCCCGGCGTATACAGACACCAAAAAGAAAGACATTTGGGGAAGCTGGGTTAATCGGAACATGAGAGTACACAAGTATAGACAGAGAGAAGGAAGAAGTAAGATGTCCCCCGACAAACTAAGCCTATATCAGCAAAACTAGGGACTGAATCTAATCAGCCCTAACTATAAGCTTTATCAAAAAGGAAGGTCTTAAGCGCACTCTTAAAAACGGATAGGGTGTCTGCCGCCCGAACACAAACTGGAAGCTGATTCCACAAATGTGGAGCTTGATAAGAAAAGGCTCTGGCTCCCATTGTACTTTTAGAGACTCTAGGAACAACCAACAACCCTGCATTCTTGGAACGCAATGCCCTAGTAGGACAGTAGGGTATAATGAGTTTCTTTAAGGTAAGATGGGCGCCTGCCCATTAAGGGCTTTGTAGGCGAGAAGAAGAATTTTAAATTCTATCCTGTGTTCTATAGGGAGCCAGTGTAAGGCAGCCAGAACAGGAGTAATGTGGTCCCTTTTCCTAACTCTGGTTAGTACACGAGCTGCAGCATTTTGAATCAGCTGAAGCGACTTGACTGACTTCTTGGTACACCCTGATAATAAAGAGTTACAATAATCCAGCCTTGAAGTAACAAATGCATGGACTAGTTTCTCTGCATCGTTTTGAGGCAAGATATGCCTGATTTTTGCAATTTACGTAGATGGAAGTAGGCGGTCCTTGAAATTGATTTTATGTGGGCGTTAAAGGATAAATCCTGATCAAATATAACACCAAGATTCCTTACAGTCTCACTGGAGGCCAAATTAATGCCATCCATAGTTAATATATCCTTAGATAATTTGTTTCGTAGATTCTTCGGGCCAAGTACAATAACTTCAGTTTTGGTCGTGTTTAACATCAAAAAGTTTAAGGTCATCCACGTTTTTAAGTCCTTAAGGCAGTCTTGAATTTTATTTAGATGATTAATTTCATCAGGCTTGATTGATAAATATAGTTGAGTATCATCCGCATAACAATGAAAATGTACAGAATGATTCCTTATAATATTTCCACGCTAACTTTGGTTTGCGTGGAAGATTCATCATTGACACGTACAAACTGAGAGCGTTCAGATAGATAGGACCTAAACCAGTCTAAAGCAGTTCCCTGTATGCCAACTAAGTGCTCTAGTCTTTGCAATAGGATATCATGGTCGATAGTATCAAATGCAGCACTGAGATCGAGCAAAACAAGAATAGAGACACGTCCCTTGTCAGAGGCTATTAGAATGTCATTTGTGACTTTAACCAGAGCTGTCTCTGTGCTATGATGTGTTCTAAAGCCAGACTGAAAATCTTCAAATAAATCATTGTTTTTTAAGTAATCACACAACTGTTTTGCGACCGCTTTCTCAAGAATTTTTGAGAGGAACGGAAGATTGGAAATAGGTCTATAATTGGCTAAAACCTCTGGATCGAGGTTGTGCTTTTTAAGAAGCGGTTTTATCACTGCTACTTTGAATGATTGTGGAACATAGCCTGATAATAAAGACATATTCATAATATTTAATAAATAAGTGCTAATTAATGGAAAAACTTCCTTCAACAGCTTAGTTGGAATTGGGTCTAACATACACGTTGATGGTTTAGAAGAGAGAATCATTGAATTTAATTGTTCAAGGTTTATGGCTGAAAAGCATTCTAGTTTACTATCTAGTGTAATATTAGAACTTACGTTTCCGGGAGCTGTTGATAACACTATACTGGTCAAAGGCAAGAGGTCATTAATTTTGTTTCTAAGAGTAACAATTTTATCATTAAAAAAGCACATAAAATCATTACTACTGAGTGCTATGGGAATAGAAGGCTCAATTGAGCTGTGGCTTTCTGTCAGCCTGGCTACAGTGCTGAAAAGAAATCTTGCATTATTCTTATTCTCATCTATTAATGAAGAGTAGTATGCTGCTCTCGCTTTACGCAGTGCTTTCTTATATTCATTGAGAGTAATATGCCAAATTAAACGAGATTCTTCAAGTTTAGTGGAACGCCATATCCTTTCAAGTTGTCTCGACTTTTGCTTTATTTTGCGGGTTTCGGCATTATGCCATGGAGCTAATCTATGTTGTTTTATTTTCTTCTTTTTCAAAGGAGCAACAGAGTCTAATTGTATTCGCAGCGCATCTGTAGCACTATCAACAACATGATCAATTTGGGGGTGGTGTACATTTGTATAAGTTTCCTCCCTTACATGCAGACATGCTATCGAGTTAAGTATTGGTGGAATCTCTTCCTTAAATTTGGCTATAGCACTAACAGATAGGTTTCTGCTGCAGGAGCTTTTGACTAATGCTTTGTAGTCTCGTAACAGTACTTCAAAAGTTACTAAGAAATGGTCGGATAAAGCAGGATTATGCGGTTCGACTAATAGTTGCTCAATTTCAATACCATAAGTCAGAACAAGGTCGAGAGTGTGATTATAGCAGTGGGTTGGTTTATTTACACTCTGACAAAAACCAACATAATCTAATATAGAGTTAAATGCAACAGTAAGGCTATTTTTATCATCGTCAACATGAATATTAAAGTCACCTACGATAATTACTTTATCTGTTTTAAGTACCAAAGTTGATAAAAAACTCAGAGAATTCAGATAAGAATTCTGAATAAGGACCTGGTGCACGGTACACTGTAACAAATAAGATTGGCTGCAAAGTTTTCCAGGTCGGATGCGTAAGACTAAAAACGAGACTTTCAAAGGAGGTATAATTTAATTTGGTTTAGTATTGATAAGTAAACTTCATATGTGTAGTTCGTGGCACAATTCAAACTGGATCAAAAGATACGTTTTCTCTCTCCATTGAATTCAATGTATAATGTTTCGCTTCCGGGGTCCCATGGACCGGAAGTAGATGGGCGTGACTTCGCCTCTCATGTGCGCGTTTGTGTGTGTTGGAGGAGGGGCTCTGAAGTGGCAGATTTGTTCCGGTTGTGTATTTTCGAATTCTAGCGCACTCGAGCTGGTTTCTCCAAAATTACCTACCCCACCTTTAAGGTCAGTGCATTTTCACTTTCTTTTATTTTTATATTTAACATTATCGAAGAAATTGTTTTGCAATAAGTGGAACATACATTTATTTGTGGCATGTTTCTCCAACTTGGCACCTGTGCTCATTAATACAATTATCAGCTCATAGTCTTTATAAATGCGTAAATTGTACTCTGAGGGTTCCATGGTTGCTATGCTGGGTCTCCAGGTTCATGCTCTTAGTTTGAACCAAAACAAACTCTCTGACGGTCAGAAAAACAACAAAACGGAATATTTCCACTCGACAATTTCCCTGAAAATAAACCATCAACCTGCCATTTTCACTTCTGGACCTCTTTCTAAGCCCTACTATCACTCACTTCGAGACATTTTTCATGGCAGATGTGAGCATTTTTTCTGTTTTTAACCTATGTTGTTATCAATGTGTTTTGCCGTGAAGACTTCTCAGAATGCACCGGTATGACTAATATTAATATTAAAGGTCCCATGTCATGCTTTTCCGGTTATTACCCGTCCCCTTGTTTGTTACTGTGTGAAGGTTTTTCTGCATGTAAACGGTCTGCAAAGTCACAAACCCTCAAAGTACACCGTGTAGCGAGTAAAACTCTAACACTGAAAATACCTGTATATCTATGCTGCCCCAGAACGCCTCGTTGGAGATTTCTCTTTTTCTTCCTGGGTACAGTGATGTGCCCATATCCAAATGGACCAATCCGTGGAGCCATTACGTTACGTCCGCGGAGCAGTTACGTTACCCTCCAACAAAGCTCCAACAAGCCGTTTAGGACAGAGAGTGAATAATAATAATAATAATAATAATTCATTTATTTTATATAGGCGCCTTTCAAGGCTCTCAAGGTCGCCGTACAAACACATAAAAAACAAGATACACAGTACCTAACACCAGCATAAGAAACATAAACAAGACAATAACAAGACATACTTTACAGAGATGCTGTATGAGAAACCAATGTGAGTTTGGAAAATTGCACAGTATAAATATATTCTAGTAGACCTCAACAATGGAATTATGATCAGTAGAAATGGCCATGACCATGGGACCTTTAATGCATTGTGATACTGATCCTTTTGATTCAAGTCATTATGGTATAACACATGTGGAGCAGTGGTCTGACTGTTGTTTTTATTTTCACCTTCAGATGGCCCGGCACTACAAGTGGACAGCTGTCCTCCTGCCAGACCCCGCCCGTCCCAGCCTCCCCCGGCTCGTCCTGTGCAGGATCCCATCTCTGCCTGGCTCCCCAGCTGAACCTGCCCCTGAACATAACTCTTCTCCTTGTTCCCCCTTTAGAGCCATCTGCAGCTCCTCCCCTGGCTCCCAACATGGCCCCCCAACTGGCCCCGCCCCTGAGCGGAAGAGGATGAAGAACCTGAGGCTTCTGATGAAGAGGAGGGAGCAGTCTGGCAGCAGGTGGAGCGAGAGAGTCGCTGAAGATCCAGGTAAGTCTCACCTTGGCTCTTCAGGTAGGTCACCTCTTGGCTCCTTCACTAGGACCTCCCCCACTTCTGGTTCCCCTCATGGCTCCCTTCTTGACTCTGGCAGCTCTCCGTGCTCTTCCTCTCGCTCCTCCTCACGCTTTTCCTCTAGCTCCTCCTCTCGCTCCTCCTCACGCTTTTCCTCTAGCTCCTCCTCTCGCTCCTTCTCTCTGTCTTTTTCTAGCTCCTCCTCCTCTCGCTCTTCCTCTAACTCTTCTTCTAGCTCTTCCTCTTGCTTCTGGTCTCTTGTGCCGACAGCTCATCCGACCAGGATCACCCTCAGAAGGCGGCAGAGGACCAGCTCCTCTCTCCAGAGCCCCCGTGAGCTTCTTGAACCTGCTGCACCCTGGGAGGCTCAGCCGGTAGGGAACGTCCCTGTGAAGAAGAGCATCCGGCTTCTGATGAAGAAGAGGACCCAGGTGGGGTCACAGTAAAAAGTGTGTCACATTAAAAAGATATAAATGAAATTGTTAAATGTTATTTCCACATTTCAGGGTAATGTGTTTATTCTTAAACTTGTTAACTATTTAATGTAATTTGACATTTGCTTATAGAGAGGAGAGGAGGTGGGAGGCAGAATTAAGTGTGACCTTTCATGCAAAAAAGGTAAGAACCAAGTTATCTAATATTATTACCGGATTTCAGGAAGTTCAGCTCATCTGTTTACAAGTTATTTGAAGACCTACAGTACATATTTTTCCTTTTTGTTTTAGAGAGAGGAGAGGAGATGAGAGGGCAGTATGAAGCTCAAGCTCTCGTGCAAAAGGTAAATATCAATGTATTTAATGTTTAAATCAGAATGAATGTAATGATGAATAACTCATCTGTTCACTTTTATTCTCTGAAGTCTTTTTGTGTGAGGAGAGAGATGAGGAAAGAAGCTAAAAAGCTGAGTCGGGATATGTAATGAGAAGAAGAGAAGATGGAAGCGCAATATGAGGTGAAAACATATCATTAATTGACTTATGCTATGTGATGGATTTGGTGTGTACTTACTTAGCCAGTCATGATTAAATTGTGAATAAAGTGTTTTAAATAAATTGTCAAAACTGGAGGAAATGTCTAATTTTTTGTATCTATGTTTTTGTTTGCATTTCAATGGTTCTATAATCCTCATATGCACAAAGCTACAGTGTAGAAATAGCAATGACATTCTTCTGACCTGAGCTCCTCCAACAATGCAACATATATAATAAAATACATACAAGTAGTGCAAAAAGTCTATATGTAAATAGAATATGATATGTACAAGAACAGATATTATTATTATATTGATATTGTGTGTTGGAGAATTAAATGTCCGATGTGAGGTTTATGAAGGTTAATTCTTGAGTTGGGTAGGAGTAACCTGACACATTAAGCCTAAAAAGTCATTTCCAGTGTTCAAAAGACACCAAAATCATACTCTGGGTTATTGAATATTGAATTCACAATAATAATATAAATACATAAGGACCATTTTTTTTACGTGTTATGTGTGTATAGAAGGCACCCATTGAAAAATAGTGATCTCTCTGTACGGTCCGTACAGAGAGATCACTATTTTCTATGGAGTGGAATACATCTAAATTGTCCTTTAGAAAAAGGCGTTTCGATTTTGTTTGACCCTACGTAATACCCGTAGTTCCATGCTATCAATGCGGAAGCGACTATGAACGGCTACAGCGCCAACTGGTATTAGTGTTTTTATTGTTAATTTCAGCCATTAATATATAGTCTAAAGTCCGTTTATTAAAAACCGAATTAGGTGGCTTTGTAATACGTTGTTTTACAGTACTTCCATCTTAAAATGGGATGTTATGGCTTTCTACCTTCCCCTATATTTGGGTAAAGTGTGTGGAAAGCGTCATGTTTGCTAGCTAGCATCTTTACAAACAAACCCGTCCCTTTAAGTGTCTGTCAAACAGCAACATGAAAGTTCGCTCGTCCGTGTTTGCCTCGTTCATTTTAATACTTGAAGGGATTGGCGTGGCCCTCTTTCTGCGGGGTTTTTTCCCTGTCCCTCTCAAGTCTTCCATCTCATCCAAGAACAAGCTGTCAGACCTTCCCGTGGAGCCGCTGACAGGTGAGCTCACACACACTCACCTGCGTGTGTGCATGTGTGTTGGTCATCTGTCAAAACTCTTAAACTTCATTTTTTATTACAGGAAGTTCTCCCAACTCCTCCCGCCTCCCACAGCCCCTGTTTAAGAGGGTGGTTATAATGTTAGTGGATGCTCTGCGGGAGGACTTTGTGTTTGGACCCAATGGCCGCATGTACATGCCCTACACCCGACACCTGGTGGAGAGGGGCTCCTCATACAGCTTCGTGGCCAAGGCAAGACCCCCCACCGTCACCATGCCCAGGATCAAGGTAAGGAGTTTGTGGGACACTCGGGCAGTGTTGGAAGAAGTACTCATATCCTTTACTTGAGTAAAAGTGCAAATATCATTGGCGTCACTTTGTTAGAAAAAGTGGTGGGGACACTTTATTCCGATTTTAAAAAACACTACTGCATTAAGCGCCCCCTCAAACAATACATACATATATGTGTACATCCATATGCTTGCAATGCTTTTTTTGACAACTAGTACAGTAACTATGCTACGCTGCTGCAAAGCGGGAGCAACAATTGCTTTACTATTCTCTATTCAGTTATTCATAATATTAAACGTGTAGCAGGTCCAAACTGCACCACTTGGGTTACCAGAAATACACCCAAAAAGTGTGAACACTCCTCCAGATTGCACATTTTCTCTTGTGTAAATAAAGCTTTCTCAAAGTGTACAATGCTTTGTGCATGCTATTTTCAGAACATTTAAACAAATGATCCTAATGCAAAGTGCTGGGGACACAATTGGCCACTTCCAAAAGTGTCCCCAGCATCCCCAGTATAAATGGCGCCTATGGCAAATACTAAAATATTCATTACAATTAAAAGTAAGTAAGTATTATCATTAAAATGTACTCAAAGCGAAAAAAGTAAAAATACTAATTTAGCACAATGAGTGTGGGAGAGAAACTCCATTACCATTTATGGCCAAGAAACATAGATGCATACAAAACTACACAAAACGCTATAATTGTAATTAATTGTTACTACATTACATTACATTACATTGCATTTAGCTGACGCTTTTATCCAAAGCGACTTACAATAAGTACATTCGACCAGGAAGACACAACCTTGAAGAAAACAGAATCATATAAGTACATCAGGTTTCATAGAGCCAAACATTTCAAGTGCTACTCAACTGGCTTTAGATAAGCCAGTCCTTTATTAGTATATAAGTGCTTTGTTAATAGATCTATCGCTCGAGGTGGAGTCGAAAGAGATGAGTTTTCAGTCTGCGCCGGAAGATGTGCAAGCTATCTGCTGTCCTGATGTCAATGGGGAGCTCATTCCACCATCTTGGAGCCAGGACAGCAAACCCACGTGTTTTTGCCGATGGGAACTTGGGTCCCCCTCGCAGCGAGGGCGCAGCGAGTCGTTTGGCTGATGCAGAGCGTAGTGCACGCGCTGGGGTGTACGGTTTAACCATGTCCTGGATGTACGAAGGGCCAGATCCATTCGCAGCATGGTAAGCAAGTACCAGTGTCTTGAAGTGGATTCTAGCAGTTACCGGAAGCCAGTGAAGGGAGCGGAGGAGCGGAGTGGTGTGGGAGAATTTAGGAAGGTTGAAGACCAGACGAGCCGCTGCATTCTGGATGAGCTGCAGAGGTCGGATGGCACATGCAGGTAGACCAGCCAGGAGGGAGTTGCAGTAGTCTAGGCGTGAGATGACGAGAGCCTGGACCAGAACCTGAGTCGCTTTCTGGGTCAGCTGGGGACGTATCTTCCTGATGTTGTAAAGCGTGTATCTGCAGCAACGGGTTGTAGCAGCTATGTTTGCAGTGAAGGACAGGTTGTTATCTAGGGTCACACCCAGATTCCTTGCAGTCTGAGTCGGGGAAACAACTGAGGTGCCGATGTTGATTGTTAGGTCAAGAGTGGGACAATCTTTTCCCGGAAGGAAGAGCAGCTCAGTCTTGTCAAGGTTGAGCTTGAGGTGATGAGCAGACATCCACTGAGAGATGTCAGCTAGACAAGCAGAGATGCGTGCAACGACCTGGGTCTCTGAGCGGGGAAAGGACAGAATTAATTGGGTGTCGTCAGCAGTGTTGTGCTAGTTACTGAAAACCAGTAACTAGTTACCATTACTAGTTACTTCATTTAAAAAGTAACTCAGTTACTTTACTAGTTACTTAAACCCAAAAGTAATGCGTTACTGTGAAAAGTAACGTTTTAGTTAGTTGAAAAAAGGGCTCCCATTAATGCCCTTATAGCCTTCATTTCAGTACCGTTATTGCATTGGAGAATAATACAATCTGTTGATCAACTTGACATGCATTATATGCAATCTGGATTGCATCGATATTAGCTGGCTTTCCATTTTTGTATATTCTTTCTCCAGGTAGTTGGAAAAAGTGTTCCGTCCCATATGCCGTGTGCCGCCCGGACATGGTATCATGCTAACTAGCTCCCTGAAAGCGGGTGACTCCACTGTAGCAATAGCCTGCATGTGTTCTACAACATACCGTGCAATGGCTTTATCGACTTTTCCCTGGCCAGCAGTCCCTTGGTTAAAATCCAGCCGCTGTTGCTTAGGTGGAGGTGGAGTGGCGTCGGCTGAGTCTCTGTGGTCTTGGCTACTAGCTTCGTCCCAGCACGTTGTTTTTGCAGATGTTTTAAAAGATTTGAATTACTGGTTTGGGCAGTAGATAGGATCTTTGACCCGCCAAGACACAACTTACATTTAACTAAAACGTTCTTTTCTTTGTGCTCGACAAAAGTGAAATAGTGAGAATATCTCCAGGTGGAGAAACTAGACTTGAGCTCCGCCGCCGCCATGATAGTCTTGTTAGTAAACAACACAAACACGCCCACAGCCCGTCTCCGCATGTGACACAGGAAGTATCAAAGTACATTTACTCAAGTACTGTACTTAAGTACAGTTCTCATCTCTGTTCGCCTGGCTGTTGACTATATAAAAAAAACTAACGGAGTAACGCACCATGTAGTAACGGTAACTGAGTTACTGAATTTAAAAAGTAATGCGTTAGAGTACTAGTTACTGTCAAAAATAACGGGGTTACAGTAACGCGTTACTTGTAACGCGTTAGTCCCAACACTGGTCGTCAGCGTAGCAGTGGTATGAAAAACAATGCGGGCTAATGACTGATCCGAGTGAGTTTGTGTACAGGGAGAAGAGGAGGGGACCAAGAACAGAGCCCTGAGGGACCCCTGTAGTTAATTGACAAGGGTGGGACTCAGACCTTCTCCAAGTCACCCTGTAGGTACGGTCTTTCAGATATGAGGTGAGGAGGGAAAGTGCAGAGCCTGAAACTCCAAGTTTTTGGAGAGTGCGAAGGAGGATCTGATGATTCACCGTGTCGAATGCAGCAGTACAGTAAATACCACAACTGTCTTGCCAACATAAACATTTACTATACATTATGACACACCTAAATGGTTCAGGTTCTTACACTACGTTTTTAGCCTATTGACGGGTGGCGCAGTGGTCTGTGCGTTTGATCATCAGATCAAGGGGGCGTTGGGGAACTCCAGTTCGAAACCCGCTCCCGCCCCACTGCGTCAGGCCGTTGTGTCCTTGGGCAAGACACTTCACCCGAATTTGCTCCTGTGGGTATTGTCCACAGTAGATGACCATTACATGTATGATCTGTATGTGTAATGTGTATTTGTAAAGCGCTTTGAGAGTCTTTGATAAAGCGCTATAATAAATATAAGGATTATTATTATTATTATTATTGCAAATAAAGTAATCAGGCTGAGTTTGGGAAGAGTGAGCACATTGCAGGTGCATGACGTTATTGAGCTGAAACACTGAGACTGTGGGCAGCCTGGGAAAAAGTCTGCGTTTAGTTGTCAGTGCTGCTGAAAAGATTTTGCTAAGGAGGTGATTTTCTGGGAAAAAGAGCATCTTGGTATTGTCTCTATGGCTGCCGGGCAGCGCGGAGGTGGAGAGGCATCTAACTGAAGTTGTCAGGTGGAGCAGAATATTGTCAGGGCAGAATAAAAGGCAGATTCCATGCTTCAGCAGGGGTTGAGGGGGACAGGGGAGGGGGGGGAGGGACAGAAATGTGCTGACAGCAGCAAGCTGTTTTAAAGATGGAAGAAGATTGGAGGCAATACACATCCTGAAGTTGGACAGATTCCTCCTCAGCGATGTCTGATGAATGTGCTCAGGCAGGTTCAGGTCAGAGAGGGCAGCATGTGTTGGTGGACACTGTCAGAGATAGTGGACAGGATAAGCGCTGAAAACAAGAAGAAAAACTGCAGGAGAAACAGGATTTCAGGAAAAAAACATCAGAGCACTCTCAATAACAACATATTTTCTGAAAGCTGAGCCAACAAAGGATGATACTGTCTTGGTAGCATCTTACTTTGACGTAATAAACATTAGCAACATTTTATTTTATACTGATTAAATACATGTCTACATTTGTAATGGTGTCCAACTAGGGCCTCAACTATGCTTTCCCTGAATCTGCAGAATTAGTTTTAATTTTTGGATAATTGTTTCGTCTATAAAATGTCAGAAACTTTAGAAAAATGCAAATCACAGCTTTTTAAAGCTTTCTTTGCCTGACCGACCTTAGAAAACCCAAACATAATTAGCTCCCTATCTCGTCAGAAAAGCAGGACATGCTCACTTCTGAGAAACACTTCAAATGACAGGAAAACCCTCACAATTAAAAAGTCAGAACCAGGGCCTCCAATAGTTTGGTGTTATTGCCTGTCATGACCTCATCCACTTTATTGATCAAAGTAGTTATACCAAATATTTCTCAATCATCCAACTACTTCTTTCCGTCTGTAAGATGTCAGAAATCAACTGACAATGTAATTTCTAAGAGTCCTAAATCACATGTTTTTTTTTACCAATGACTAAATGCAAAGGATAAACATTTAATCTATAACAAAGAATATTCTTTCTATTGTAATTTGAGAGGAGGAGGAGGAGGAGGAGGAGGAGGAGGAGGAGGAGGAGGAGGAGGGAGGAGGAGGAGGAGGAGGAGGTTAGGAGGAGTGAGGGGGGATTATGAAAAAGGGGGAGGGGGGATTAGTATTATTTCCTGTTAGGTGTAGCTATCTTATTAGGACTTTCGTTAGAGAGGAGGAGGCGGAGGGAAATGATGATGGGATAAAGCTGATTGAGGTGTACTGGCAGGGGAGACAGATGGTGTCCGTCCATAATCCAAGGGTTTAGGGAAGATGATGGAGGAAAAGGGGCCTTGAGGAAAAACAACTCTGGGTGTGAACAATCTCTTAGATTTGTTGACGGTAGATAGTATGAGATGGAAAATCAATAAGTTTTAAAATTGAAAGGTTTCTGATTTAGAAGCACAGGCATGATGGAACCAAAAATGGTGCTTTTACAGCTGTCCAGAAACGTGCACGTTGGATTTGTGATCTTGCTGAGAGCAGAAGGGACCCTCAATCTCTTTTAAGGGGCAGTTATAGTAAATGTAAGGGCATAACAGCCTAATGTATATCTGCTCCTGCTTCATATACTTCCTCATATATTGACAAACCTCTCAAAAATAAAATACTGGATGATTGGTTGTTGGAGGGATTTAATTTTAGGTAATGGATTAGAGCCCTTTGTAATAAAATGCAAAGATATCCACTGATTGTCTTCTTAGGCCAGTTGTTAGTACAAGAAAAGCTCAAAATCATGCAACAAATTCCTTTTCTCTTTTGAAAACGACTGTTCTGTTCATTAGAAGTTGTATCATTCCAATGGTGGAATGTAACAAATGTACTAGAGTATTTCAATTTTAAGCAACAAATACTTCTACTCCACTCCATTGAGGCAAACATATTTAACTGTTTCCTCTACCTGTATTTAACACTTATAGTTAAGAGCTATTTTGTACACATAAAAACAAATCAAATGCTTATATCATATGCTGTTATTACATTAAATACCCAGTATTTTATTAAGGTAACTAAAATTGGCTCAGCTTTGACAAAACAGAATAATGTTTTCCGTATTAGTATGAATTTTACTTTTGATTACGCTGTCTTTATATTACTTCTGTAATTATACTTAAATACAATTTTTATTTTAAGACTTTTACTGGAGAATTTTAAGACCTCAATATTTCTACATTTACTTAAGGAAAGGATCTTTAAGTAACAGTTCTGAGTACTTCTCTTGCCACTGTGTTATTCCCTATCACAAGTATAACATTTTCCATCACAGCATTAAGATGTAGTGACACACCAGTAGGTGGCAGTGCACACCATCTGCCACTCTCTGCCCACTATCACTGCATTGCACCCAATTAACTGCTACCTATGACACAGCCAACTAACCTAAATCATTATCCCACGGCCATCCATTCACACACACACGTTAAAACTCCCTCCACTGTCTCATAATAAAGTTACAAGCATCATGCACACATACTGTACCGGTCAGCTGATTTTGCTACTAATACGTTTATTTTACTGAAGTCACCATAGAGCTTTTTCATCATTACTCTCACTTCCTTTGGCAAATATATAAGCCCACGTTGAAGAAAAAAAGTAACTAACAAAAAAGAGAGAAAAACCATTAGGCAGATATCTAAAACAGAATGAAATAAAACTACTTTACAGCACAGAAAACATCTAATTCATTGATATAATTAACATGGCAATGGTAGGGAATTCCATTGAGGACACACACTTTTCGTATCTGGTTTCTTGTTAATGGGCTATTTTTCATTAAAGGCCAGGCAGCAAACAGTTGTTATGCCAGAAACTCGGAAACCCTGTGGTTTTTGAATGGTTCCAATTTCCTTGCTCTTTCTAACCGCGGCAGGAAGTGGGGTTTCTTCCCCCTGTCCTGTATTCACACGGGGGACAGTCGAGCCAAACTGGCACAGCAGTCAGTGGACATTACAGAGTTGGTGGATTTGGACAATGAACTCATTTATCATAACAGCAGCAGCAATGTGGCTGTTTGGAGAGCTAGTATCTGCCCGGGTGGTAAACAAACAGAAGACCAAGTTCATGAATGGTAAAGTGTAAATGGTGGCGACTGTGGAGCTGGGCCTTAATGAAAGTCTACCAATCAGAGGGTCAGCGGTTTGATTCCCAGCCCTACCTGTCTACCTGTTGAAGTCTCCTTGGGCAAGATACTTAACACTAAATTGCTATAGTGGGCAATGTCTTCGCTATTGAAGTGTTTGTAAGCTAAATAAAATTAATGTAATATTACTCGCATAACTTTTATTTGATAATAAGACTGGAGAAGAAGACCTCAAAAAGATTAGTTGACTTATCAAATAGTAAATTGACAGAAATCTATTTTCAAGTAGAATTGTCAGGATTGTTTTATGTCATATTGAAGTCAAAGTCTTTGGGACAAAACACTTTTGGACTTTTGAAAAACTTTTGGATGAACATTTCTCACCGTATAGACTAAACAATTAATATGGAAAATATATAAACACAAATGAAACAGCACTCAAACACAAATTGGCTTTGCGATAAGGATGAACCTTTCTCCCTCAATAATGGAAATAATACTTTAAGGATATTTTTAATGCATTTAAGCTTTCAGAAGTAAGTGAAAGAAAACCAAAATATATGTTTTGCCAGTGGAAATCACAGCATCTTCCATCTGTGTTTTGGCACCTTTTAAACATTTTCATATCTGTGCTAGAGAGTGTCAATAAACCCTACTGATATCGTATTTGACATTCAAGCAGAGGTACATCGCGAGCCTAGACCCATACTGTGAGCCAGGAGTTAGTATGTTGATGAGTCACTGATTCCTTCAGGCAGATTCACAATGGTTTTTTTTGGCATCTGGAGAAATGGAATGCCTTTTTTTTTAAAACTGTGAACTTTTGAATCGAGCTGATTGTTATCCTTGCAGAAGACACAGCTCCACCAATATGCCTCCCCCTGTGTTTATTACTGCATAACAGCAACATGTTCTACCAGTTTTGCTACAAAGTGCCGAAGCGCTGGTTTCACCGGACAGACTATCTCTATTATTGGCGATGGACCTCACACTGAGAGTGAACCGGCAGAAAGAGGAGAAGGCTTTTGAAGCGGGACCATCCATCTCTCCCTGAAACAAGCATCTGCACTGGCAGGAGCGAAAAACAATCACACGGAAGGAAGTGGTAAATAATTGAGCTCAGGAACAAAGCTTTGGAGATGAGGCTTCAAATTTCAGCTCTAGTTGCTGAGAGGCTTCTCTCTCTGGCGTAAAGTATGTTTATGAGTTTTAATTTCTAAGTAGGAGACAGAAACCTTTCAACGTGACGGAGAATAACTTTTCTACCGTAAATCAAGACGCAAATTGATGCAGCGTTATTGTCGTTGGTATATTGAAATGTGATCGCAAATAAAAACCTTTACTTTATTGCTGTCCCCCTTGCACCTTTAAAGTATCCTCATAGTAGCTGTGGTTAGAGTCCCACAGTAACCCTACAGCTACAAAGTGTTTTGGAAGCAAACATTCAATATATATATATAAAAACTGATGAGAGGAATAAAATACCCAGATGTGATCTTTAAAACAGGGGGATCTAAGGACAAATGCATCGCCAATAAAATAGATACAACTCTGTTTAAATGTATAAGATTACTTTCCCAGCTCCCTTGGCAGTTTCCTGTAAAACTTGGACCCTTTTACAATAAAGGCCGGTCACCTCTGATTTTCTCCTGGAGTCTTGAGGGTCCCACGAGATCTCGGGCTGTGCTCCAACTCGAAGGCGGTTTGAATAACAGCGTTTTCTGCCAGTATCTGCATACTCACGTCTGCTTCAATGCATAAAGACGAGGCCTTTGTACTCCGCCCTCGACGATGCACCAAGCTCTATCCTGACTTCCAAAACTGGCTTTGTTTCCTTGTCAGTCAAATGGGGGCCAGTGTTGTTTTATTTCACATTCCATGATGAAATCAGTCGAAACTGTACTTCCTAAATATCATCAATCTACCTGATTCAGCTTTCCATTTGTGGCAGCAAAATTGGTTTGAGGATGTGGGACGTAGTTTGCTTTTTCAATGTTAGATTGACATAGTGACCAAGCAGATTAAATGGGATTTGTTTTGTTTTTGAAGATCATAAAAAAACATATTTTTAATGAACACTGCACTCCATTTCAAGCCTTAATTAGCTGGATTAATATGATGAAACTGCAAGGTTGTGTAACACCATTAAAAGATAATTATTGTTCATAGTACAATGACAGAAACATATCCCTCCCCAGGCTCTCACCACTGGCACTATTCCAGGCTTCATTGATGTGGTAATGAACCTGAATTCTCCGGCACTGCTGGAAGACAACCTCATCTGGCAAGCCAAAGCAGCAGGGAAGAGGATGGTCTTCTACGGGGATGACACCTGGGTGCGCCTCTTCCCCAAACACTTCATGGAGCACGATGGCACCACCTCCTTCTTCGTATCCGACTACACAGAGGTATGTGTCAGCCCATCAGTCTTGGTAAATGTTGTGGTTCTATGCTTGTGTGATCAAAGGACCGTGAAAGCAAGTGATGGCAATTATGAACCAGGAATTTTGAAAATGGTGAGAAATCGTTAAACCAAACTAAATGCAAGAGACTACATTTATGCTCAAGTTCTCATAGAAAAGTGTATTTTTTAACAATATCATAAACATAGCAAGTGGCTGTAGTTCCCACGATGTCCTCCATTGGTTTGTACTACTGATCTGAAGCCTTGATTTTGTCAATTTTGCCATCACCATCTTGGTTTTTTGGATCCAGAAGTGTTTGGAGAATAGTGTGGAGCGCAACAGAAGCGATACTGTGAGCATTACAAAAGCTTAAAGTTACCCACTAAAACCAGTAGTAGTTAAGTTATTAAGATGCATTCCGAATTCATGTTAACTGTGGCATTAATTTAAATGCTAAAAACAGGCTTGTTTGTTTAAGTTACATACTTATCTGAACTAATTTGCAGCCAACTCCTTAAAGTGTTTTAGAACAAGAAGCAAAGCTAAGCAAAACAGGAATGGTGAGTGCATACACAGAAACCTGCTAACATAAAAATAAAGTACATTTACAAATTCATAAAATACTGTAGCACAGACTTCTAAATTGGTCTGTTATAACAACTAACCACAATAAAAGCCATACTCTTTGTCCAATATTTGAATGTTCAGCGACCTAAATTAGCGGAGCTAAGATCTAGCTAACAGCTATGCCACCTGTGACTGCAACTTCCTGTCACTCAATGCGACCTCAAAGCCCTTAATTATGCACGGGTGTGTTATCTAAAAATGTAAACAACTTCAAATTGAGCAAGCAGCAATTGGCCATTAGAGGAACTGCAGTTTCAACTTCAATTTACAACACCAAAGATTTGCTGCTTGGTTGTAACCCAGTACGAAGAAGACTGTAAATAATGTATTAATCAGAGGTGGAAAAAGTAGATCTTGTACTTGAGTAAAAGAAGAAGTACCAAAGTGTAGGAATACTGTTAAAAGTAAAAGTCCTGCATTTAAAATGTGACTGAAGTAAAAGTACTATTTGTTGTATTAGCAACAAAAATATACTTAAAGTACCAAAAGTGAAAGTACTCATTATGCAGATTGGTCCATTTCAGAATATATGATATGTTTTATAATGATTGATCATGAAAGTGTTCTCAAAGCTGGTAAAGGTGCAGCTAGTTTGAATGACTTTGTATACTGCAGGGTAGCTTGTGGATTTACTCCAGGTGGAACTAAAGTCAGATTTAAGAGTTGATTAGATTTCACATCATTCATCCAGATCTGTGAAGTAACTAAAGGGATTAAATACATTTAGTGGAGTTAAAGTACAGTATTTACCTCTGAAATGTAGTGGAGTACAACGTAGCATAAAATGGAGATATTCAAGTAAAATTGTACAGTACTTGAGTAAATGGACGTAGTTACTTTCAGTGTTGGGACTAACGCGTTACAATGTAACGCGTTACTGTAGCGCGTTAGAGTAACTAGTACTCTAACGCATTACTACATGGTGCGTTACTCCGTTACTGCGTTAGTTTTTTTATATAGTCAACAGCCAGGCGAACAGAGATGAGAACTGTACTTAAGTACAGTACTTGAGTAAATGTACTTAGATACTTCCTGTGTCACATGCGGAGACGCGCTGTGGGCGTGTTTGTGTTGTTTACTAACAAGACTATCATGGCGGCGGCGGAGCTCAAGTCTAGTTTCTCCACCTGGAGATATTCTCACTATTTCACTTTTGTCGAGCACAAAGAAAAGAACGTTTTAGTTCAATGTAAGTTGTGTCTTGGCGGGTCAAAGATCCTATCTACTGCCCAAAACAGTAATTCAAATCTCTTAAAACATCTGCAAAAACAACATGCTGGGACGAAGCTAGTAACTAAGACCGGCACAGACCCAGACTCATCCAACGCCACTCCACCTCCACCTAAGCAACAGCGGCTGGATTTTAACCAAGGGACTGCTAGCCAGGGAAAAGTCGATAAAGCCATTGCACGGTATGTTGTAGAACACATGCAGGCTATTGCTACAGTGGAGTCACCCGCTTTCAGGGAGCTAGTTAGCATGATAGCATGTCCGGACGGCACACGGCATATGGGACGGAAAACTTTTTCCAACTACCTGGAGAAAGAATATACAAAAATGGAAAGCCAGCTAATATCGATGCAATCCAGATTGCATATAATGCATGTCAAGTTGATCAACAGATTGTATTATTCTCTAATGCAATAACGGTACTGAAATGAAGGCTATAAGGGCATTAAAGGGAGCCCCTTTTCTAAGTAACTAAAAACGTTACTTTTCACAGTAACGCATTACTTTTTGGTGTGAGTAATCAGTAAAGTAACTGAGTTACTTTTGAAATGAAGTAACTAGTAATGGTAACTAGTTACTGGTTTTCAGTAACTAGCACAACACTGGTTACTTTACATCACTGGTATTAATTAATAATTAAGCAGTGGTTTATGAATTATGAGGAACATGCTTTGTGTATCTAGAAAGTACTCAGTCACAGCATTACCTACAAAAGTTATCTCCATGAAAGAGATGAAGCCAAATGAGCAACCAGGGAGGCTCAGAGATGAGTTCACATAAAAAGATGCTTATCAATTCACAAATGTGTTGTAATATTTGCCTGATGATAATCAGATAATTATCAGACTCTATCGCAGCTTGAGTAAAGCTCCCCTCAGCTTAACTTTTGTTTGCTCTAGGGGGCGATTTTGAATAATTCCAACATTAATTGGTTTTCAGTTGAAATCCTCTCGATCAGTAAATGTCTATCTTTCATCACGTCTCCATGTAGGTTGACAACAATGTGACCCGTCACTTGGATAGCACCCTGAAGAGAGACGATTGGGACATTCTGATCCTGCACTATCTGGGCCTGGACCACATCGGCCACATCAGCGGACCCCACAGCTCGCTCATCCAACCCAAACTGATGGAGATGGACGACATCCTGAAGAAGATTCACAGTGCCCTCATTTCAAAGGTAATTTCTTGTTGTCCTAAACCAGGGGTAGCCAACATGTGAGTCGCCCGCGGGACATGTTCTAAAAATAGCTCGCCAAGCAAATCCAAAATGTAAAAAATACACAAAACAAAAAAGGAAATGTAATTTAAAATAATCTACCCTATGCATGAACGAAACCTCAATCAGCTAATTTATTTTATCTGATTTATACCTTATTTACTATAAATAATAATACTCATAATAATAGCAGACATTTTTTAACAATGACCACAATATAATTATTTTAATAAACCAAATATGAACAATTGAGGAAAATGAGGAAGAACTGATGATTCAAATGTTGTAGTAATGTAGTTTTTGCATAAATTACTATTGCAACAAATGAGTTCATTTTCTTCATGATTAGTCGATTTTTTTGGACGAATGCTCTTGGGCCAGTGGTTACAATGGTGGGGCCAGTGGTAATAAAAGTCCACCGGCCCGGAGGGTGCACCGACAGAGCGGTCAGCTCGGACACTCTTGGCCGAAGTCAAGGCAAGCAGCAAAGCTGTTTTCAATGACAGTGCCTTCAGGGAGGAGAGCTCCAGAGGCTCAAATGGTTCTGTGACCAGAGCCTCGAGCACCAACGGCAGATCCCATTGCGGGGTGGAGGCATGCACCACTGGACGCTGTCTCCTGACCCCCTGCAAAAATAAGCGGTTGACTGAAGGCTGACCTGCCGCCAAATCCCTCATGGCAGGACGAGATGGCTGCTGCATACACCTTAATTGTGGAATGAGCAAGCCCCCTGTCCACCAGTATCTGTAAGTAGGACAGAATAGGGCCCAGTGTACAGGATAGGGGCTCTAGACTCCTTTCTTCACACCACCGCTGGAATCCCAACCACTTCGGCCTGTAACAGGCTGTGGTGGATCCTGCTCTTGCTGCCTGGATAGTCTGAATAACTTCGTTAGACAGTCCCCCCTGTCTCAGCTAGGGCTGAACGATTAATCGATTTTAAATCGGAATCGCGATTTGAAATGATGCGATTATCAAATCGCAAAGCCTTTTACAATTTTTTTTTTACAATTTTTTTTTTTTTTCTTCTTGTGTGTCAGTCATCCACACCAATCAGAAGTGCTGTGCTCCACATGTACCAGCCATTGTTAATCAATCAGAAGTGGCCCATGATAGAAGGTGATAGACAGATTGATCCAATCACCTGCCAAGTATTTTTGAAAGTGCCTGCCCTTTCCAAATGGCTTCCAATGGAGCTTTCCTAGATGGCTTGGTGAAACAAAGCATCTGTGTCAGGTTAGTAATGCTCCATCACATGTTTCTATCACAGGGTGAATCTTAAACTGAAGCTTGACTTTAAAGCAACCCAACGGAAGTTTCATGTAAGTTTAGTTATTTCACTCGTAGCTCCGGGCTGCGGGGGTGCTAGAGATGGGAGTACGTTGATACGACCTTCCTAGCCGGAGTTATGGCCGCATTTTACAATAAACTTCCATTGGGTCGCTTAAAAACAAATATCGCAAATCGCAATCGCAATATTTGTCAGAAAAATTGCAATTCGATTTTTTTCCCAAAATCGTGCAGCCCTAGTCTCAGCCTGTCCCTCTTAGGAGCCTGGAGAGGTTGGCCCAGAGTGGGTAACGCCGGTTGGCGAACAGGTCCACCTCCGCTTTCCCGAACTGGGCCCAGATCTGCTTCACCACCTCCGGGTTGTGAAGTAAAAACTTCTTTGCAGCAATGTTGAGCGCATCATCAAATGAGGGAAACTGGATTCGCCTGTCAATACACTGATATTTATTGAGAGACAGACAATTACATACGGCCGGGAGATCATCCTAGTTTCACACTGTCCTTGTGCTCCACCAAGGTAATCTCTGAACCAAAAGACACAAAACATCTAACCAACACGAGGAGAGGCGGGCTCCCAGAAAGCCCGCGTATAATCAATAGCCGATGCGAGACAATGGTCTGCTTGTCTCAAAGAGATGCTGCCAGGTCAACCCCCCACGGACATAGGAGAAGCGTTTGACCTGTGACCTCAACTCACAGAGGAGTCTCTGACTGACTACAAACAGATGTTTGCAGTATCACAGATTCTATAAAACAATAAGAAACTCTATAAAAAGATCAGATGAAAATATTCTCTTACAGATTCACTCTTTTTATCAATCTATTGATAACCAATTAACATTAGTCTAAGAATATTTCAGTCAATACTTAAAATCAATAGGCGTCCTCAGAGTTGGGTGGGCTCAGATACATTCATTACATTAAAAAATAGAACAAGATTGAAAACATTTCAATCACCCTGATTGAACACAGTCAATCATAATAAAAATCATCTCTCTTCAGTGCTTGGCATCTTTTGTCAAAAGGCACAATAATAAACACATGAAATACAACAATATTATAGCAAAATATATGTTTAAAAAATAAGATCTTTTATCATTTATCACTCAGTTAATCTCATTCATCAAACACAAATTCTAAATCATCTTACATCTCAAAGATTTACTTTAAGGCAATTACTTATTAAAACACAATTAGAATTTAGGATTTATAATAAATCCAATTGAGGTATAAATCAGAATCATGAGAGATCCAGCTAAGGTTCCGAGTTAAGGTATACATTCATAGTGATGAATCGATCAATCTGTAATCTGTAAAGTTACAGTGTCCTCAATCTTTAACATTACTTTACGTTTACTTCATTACGCTTTATTCAAGAGTAAGGCATGATAACATAATTACATTACTTCAACTATCAATCATTATGTCATTTCAAAATCTGAAGGGAAAACTAAACAATTCTCAAAATGTTTAACAATCTGAAGAATCAAACATTTTATTGTATAACAACCTGAAAAGGAAAAAATCAAAACATCTGTTCTTTATTCAGAGCATCAACTGTAATCAATATCAAAACATCTGTTCTTACCTGGTAATGATTAAGGATAGTAACATTGTCTGTTATAATATTAGAAATATCTTATTGTTCAATACCTTATAAATCTGAAAATATCAATTAATTAATTAGTTTAGTGTGAAAGTGTAATCTGATAAAATATATTTATCACCACTATTTAACACATATCTGTTCATTGGGAATACAAAAACAATCATTAATTGTACATCTGTAATCATCTGGTCATTCAATTCAAATGTTATCTTTGTACGAGAGCTAGAAGACATGTTTTCATCCTCTCTTTATGACACAGAATGTCTGGTGTGTAAAGGCATCCTGATACTGTAGATTAGCACTGAGGTGCTGATTGGCTCAAAACTCTTCTTCATCAGAGCGCCATAACTCAATTATCTGTAGATTAGCACTGAGGTGCTGATTGGCTCAAAACTCTTCTTCATCAGAGCGCCATATCTCAATCCCCCCCAATTGCTCTGCTTTTGTGGCTCAATTCAGTGAGCACTTTATGATCTCCCAGTGAAACAGAGGCTCATCTGCCTGCATTCCTTCTGCTATCTGCTTGAGAGCAGTGCACCTGCCTATTCCAAGTGGCACATCCAGATGCCCCCCCCTGTGATGGGAGAGGTTATGAAAACATCTGCTCCTCCAATGAAACATGGAAACCTTGTATGAAGCCTCTGAAGCCATCGCTCGTCCTGCGAGCGAAAATGAAGAAGCATCCCATCTCATCAGAAAGTTGAAGATTAGAATCCTCTCATCTCGAACGACCTCCTTGCCCGTGGATAAGTTGCTCTCTGCAGCCGCAGAGTGTGATCCTCTCTCTCTGACCCTTGGCCTTCAGAGCTCTCCTAGTTATTGGGTTAACACTTGATAGGGATGTTTTCCTGAGTGCAGACAACTCAAGGTAATGGATTAGCACATTATCATTCAATTACAAAAATAGGATAGGCCCCCTCAGAATGATTTGGGAGCCTTCCTGAGACATGCACATTATAAATGTAAGGTTTGTGTTAGTCATTTAACATGCAAGAATCATATACTCATCAGTCCAAAGCAGATAAATGTTATTTTAAGTTAAATGTGAGCTAGTCCCTGTGGAATAACCCTTTCTCAATGATTATAAATGTTATATTAATTCACCATTTACCGTTTGATCAAGGATTAGTTTATCAGAAGTACATTTCCTCTTCCATAAAACATAGGTTTGAGAAATGAATGTTCCAATATGAAGTCAATTGCTCAATTTCTCAATATAATTTGACTCTTCCCTCCCTTTTCTTACATATTGTCACATATGAAATAATAACTTAGGAGTCTATTTAAGCATGGTATTGTCTATATAAGCTATTAATCGAGAAAACTCAGTCAGTATGCAACTCGCAAATATCTCTCCTCCTTCCTATCCCTCTTTACTCACTTCCCCATCACTTTCTATTGTCTCTTTCTCATCCCTCTTTACTCACTTTCCCATCTCTTTCTCTCTTATTTCTGTTAGATATGAAGGAAAAAACATACAAGTCCATGTAAGCATCTGAGTTACCACCGTTACCAAACGGTGTGCCGCGGCACACTGGTGTGCCGTGAGGCAAGTCCGGGTGTGCCGTGGGATTTTGTGACAACCATACATTATTTTTTCAATATACAACTACACAAAAATAATCAATTATTTTTCAATTTACTATATCAGTACTTTGTAGGTTTATGTACGTAATCTGCGCGACTTGCGCGTCCACATCTCCACGTGCAGTGCTGCATAAACATGGCTGAGTCAGCGATAACTATCGAGGGGTGGAGGTATGCCCATTATTTTTATATCACGCAGTCTATTCTTCTTCTCTGTCTTCCGGTTGTTGCCTGTATTAAATGACAAATACACACTACCGCCATGGATTTGATATGAACGAGGCGGCAGTTAGCAGCTAGCGGCTAGCTAGTAATGATCTAGTGATATCGGTAATATTAACTCCATTTAATACAACATTTACGGTACAAGATTCAATCATACAGCCCATGTAGTATGACAATGAATTACAGCAAACATGTGCAATATATCCATTATTACAGCTCCGTGGGATGGCAGTAAGACGATATGGATCCG